ATTTTTGTTTTCTTATGACATCACAATTTTGTATATATAATATACTGAGGCAATATTAGACACGAATCAAATACAACACAGAGCTAGTGAATTTGGAACTATCTTTTTATGCTCCCAAAAACTTGCACAAATCGTGTCAATCTATCGATGGGAATTTGGCATTAATTCATTTAAAGTTTCAAATATTGGATCATGGATGTATAGATATATGTGTTTTAGTTTTAATTTAGAGTTATTGGTTTAAATTATATTTGGATGAAATACTATTATATGTGGACAATTGCATTTTTATTTTACTATTTAAATTTATTTATTGTTTAATTTAAATAGATTAATCATGCTGGTTTCATGTTAATTCAAGTTGTATGCATCATTTTAGTATAGAATTAAATTAAATGGGTTATCAATTTGAAATGGGTGAATGGAAAACTAAAGAGGATAGGGTCAAAAATAAACATTTTCAAAAGAAATTAATACTAGGTAATAAAATAAGAGAAAGGATATTAACCACAACTTCAGTAATAAGAAATTATTTAGGCAAAAAAAAAAAAAAAGAACCGCGAATGAAAAAAGTAATAAGAAGTAATTTGTCACAAGTTGACGGGATTGGAATAGCCAGGGGTATATAATCGTGGGTTGATAAGAAATGATTTAAAAGGCTCATAAATTAAGAAAGGATATGGCATTGGATAGAAACATAAATAGCAAAACAAGATTCATGTAGTCGGCTTTATATAGAGATGTCAATGGGTCGGGTTAAATGGTAAAGTTGGGTTGACCCAATCCTATAGGGTTTGGTTAGGATCAGATTTATATTATCTGGGTGTAGGGTTGGGTTAGATAGGGTTTTGGCTCTTTGACCTCAGTTGGGTGCCATCCCTACTGGATACTCCCATATCTTTAAAGTTAGGATTTCTTTGTATGTTTGTTTTGGTTCTTCATAAACACTTAGGAACTCATCAATCAAATTTTAACTTAAATTAAAGGCTTTTAAGTTTTCAAAATGTATTATAAAAATATATTTAAAAGACAATGAATTGGGTGGGGTTGGGTCCATATTTAATTAAAAACTATTAGGTTAGGTCAAGTCAAGTCAGGTTCAGTTGGGACCATCGAAGGGTTTGGTTAGGGTTGAGGCAACCTGTACCGAACCCAATTTGCTCCCTAACCTCATACATATAGTTTAGGAGAAAACTTCAATAATGATGATATGATGATGATGTTCCAATTAGGTAAATGGTTGAATTTAACATTTAAGCTCAGTTTAGAAGGAGTATAAATACAAATTTGGAGAGTATAAAACTTTGTATTTTATATATATATTTTTACTGTAGATATTTGTATTTATAATTCATCCAAACTGAACCTTAAGGAAGTATCCAACTTGAAAGCTTAATGGCTTTTCCATCCCGGTGAAGGGTCAATGGTCCAATTGTCTAGGTCAAACATGTTTTCTTAATATATCAGAATTAAATAATAAATATATTTAAAATAGAGAAAAATACAAAGCCTAATAAAAAGGGCATTTTCTAATGTTATATATACATCATATTAAATAAAAATAAAAACATGTGAGATAAATAAGAATTATAATGACGCAATTAAATGAAAAAGATACAAAACAAACAAAACAAAAAAGGGAGTTAATATTTGACTCATGGTTCATTGATATATATTTATATATTTTTATAATATATATTGTAAATATAAAAAAAAAACGGATAAATTGAAAAACTGAATTGGTCAAAAACTGAATCAATCAATCAATTAACCGATTGGTTTCGGTTTGTTGTTTTTCAAAATCAATTTATGAAAGCTATTGATTACCATGAGCACCTGTACCTGTTGATCAGGTCAAATGGTTCAACGGTTCAATAGATCCAGTCACTAATGCTGTGTTTGGTTCAAAGGAAAAAGCAGGGAAAGGAAGGGAATTAGGGAAATGTAGGGAAACTATTACAAACCTTGTATAGGTTTCCTTACCTTTCCATCACTTTCCCTGCTTTTTCCTTCAAACCAAGCACAGCCTAAGGGTATGTTTAGGACCATTGTCATTTTCTTAGGTAACGTTTGTGCAAAAAATATTGCTTTCTTAGGTAATTTGGGATCTAATGCACATTTTTTATTATTTATTTATGAAAGCTAGCGCCTTAGACACCAAATCTATACTATATATAAAAGTGAGAATGCAGATTGGAAGCTTTTTTGGACTAAAATTACCCCTATCTTAAAATATTAACTCCCATTTTATCTTATTAAATCCTATATTAGGTTATTTTTCATTAACAAATGATAATAATTAGATCTATGCCAATATTTTTAACAATATAAACCTCTTATTTTAAAACTAACTCAATAACAAAACCATTCTTTAACAAAGTGGTGGCTAAGAAATTCATCCATCCCAATCAAATTGATTAACTTACATAGTCATAGTTAGTTAATAAAATTTTTAAAATAGAAATAAATATAAAAATTATAAAATATAGAAAAAAATAGACACATTTATGATATTTTATTAATAAAAATAAGTGTAATAAATAAGAATTATTTTTATTGTTAATGAAAATTAAATACATAATTTAGAACTAAGCAAAATGAAATTATTTTATTGTTTGGCAAAGATCAATAGTTCAACTTTTGGGTCAAATTTGTTAGTGCTTAATGTCATAAATAAATAAATATTAATAAAATATAAAAGTACAAAACAAAAAGAAATACATAAATTTTGCAAAAGAACATTTAGGCACATGTATAATATCATATAATTATCATATTAAACAAGAAGTGTGACATATCAAAATTATTTTTATACATAGAAATACAAAAAGAATTATAGAAAAATTGAACACATCTATAATTCTTTATTTACACTACTAATAAAAATATGAATAAGATTATGAAACATTCTTTTAACTAAACTTAGGCCCCATTTAGTTTGTGGGAATAGGGGTCTGAAATTGGAATCAGAATGGGCTACTCCGATTCCAATTGTTTGGTTGGGCGGAATTGGAATCCTATTCCCATTCTTGCTGGAATAGCATTCTCCCATTTGAAGGAATGGCCATTCCCTGCCTCTCCCTTGGGAATGAGATCCCATTCCTGCTGATTTTAATTCCCATTCCTATTTGAACCAAACAGACTATGGGAATGGATCATTCAGATTCCAATTCCAGAGGATTCCGATTCTGACTACGAACCAAACGAACCCTTAGAATGAGTTAACTGGACTTTAGGGTTATTCATAAATCGACGGTTCGGGTCGGTTTCGGGTTTTCTTGTGTGAAAACCAAAACCGACCCGAACCGAACCGACTTAGTTCCTACTTAACTATTTAAATATAATCTATATAAATATATATTTCAATTTTAAATTAAATCGACCTAATCTATTTAAATATACATTTTGGTTTTAATTTAAATATATTTTATATTTAAAACTGTTAAATAAAGATATTTCAGTTTTACATAAAAACTGAAATATCTAACAATCCAAACTTGCACCACACAGGCACATGGGCCATAGGGGGCATGGATGAACTTTAGAGCCGAAACCGACTCAACCCGACTTAAACTGACCAAGTCGGTTTTACTTAACATTGGGTCGGTTTTGATTTCCATCTCAAGTAACCTGGCTAGGTCGGGTCGATTGGAAAAACCTCAATAAATCGACCCAACCCGACCCGTGAACAGCCCTACTAAACTTCATAGCTAGGGTGATCATCAAAAACCGAAAAACCTAATTGAATAGGTGATAGTGAACCGAAAATTCTGGTTAACTAAATCGGTAGGTTTGGTTTTAATTTGATATTTTCAAAAAAAAAAATCAAAGATATAGATTCGATTTTGGTTATATATTATATTTAGTATTTTTATTATATTTATATATTTATTTATAAAATATATTATAAATATAAAAGTATAAACCGAACTGATAAACAAAATAACCGATTGGCTTCAATTCAGTCTTGATTACCAGTTTTCCAAAAATCAATAGCATCAATTGGGTTTGAAAAAGAGAGCCATATTAACCCAACTGTGAACACACCTACAGATAGCTGTTCGTGGGATCAATTCTTCCACACGTTTGGGAATACCAATGGACTCTCTAACTATAACGCCTCACATGCGCCCAATAGCACATCTCAATTGTGCGTTGGGTGCATCTCCTTATAACATTTTAAGATGATATTTCGAATGCATGCTTAGATGTGAATGTTAGGAATATGTGGGATACTCTCCGTGGGGAGTCCATTTGAATCCCACATTTGGATCTTACCCACAGAAAAACCTAACTGTACATTGAGAATATCTCCTGTATTGCGGTATCCTGTCTGGAGTGATCACTTATTTGCAAAATCATTAATTTTACAGTCCATAAATTAATGGGATGAATCTAATTAAATTCATACTTAACCCTAAATTTTAAATCCATCGGCAAATAAAACCAGTGTTTCATCCCTCCAAAAAGAACAAAAAAAAAACTGTATTTCATCCCAAAACATACTGGTTTAGCATTAATTCTCTAAATCACAAAAAACCCAGCCAACAGTTCTGACTTCTGCAAATAATATTTGATAAACTTTTTATGCCATTTTCTATTTTTCTTGTTGGTGTAAGAGATTAAGCCCTTCAGAAATTACAAATTCCAAACGCCCTGGACAAAACGTGCGGTGGGGCTTGCTCAAGGCCCACGGAGGCCCACTATTTTGAGCCTACACAGCCTTTTCTAAACACGTGCCCAACTATTTTTTATTTGGGCACGTCCCATTTTTAATAAACCGGTTCCTAACTAAACCACTAAAAAATACTGTTTAAAATAAAAACGACAAAAACTAAAATCTTCTGGTATTTTTCTATTTTGTGTTTGAAAAACAGAAAAGCATTTTTTGGTAATAACAAAAAAGCATTTTAAATGATGTGCCCATATCAAACCCCCCAGAAGGCCAGACTACCGTAAGGCTGTAACTAAACATAAAACAATAAGAAAATAGCTCGTCCCTCGTCGTCTTTTCAAATAAAAGGCTCAATCAAATGCAACTGGGTCGGTATTTCCCAGAAATTGGACAGACAGAAATTCTTTCATTAATCCTCTTTCCCCCTCCTTTCTTCTCGGCCGTCAGCATACCCAAGGAGGGACCTCTGCAACTCCAAAACATAGAAGAAGAGAACCAACCAAACCTCCTCAACACCAATTTCGATCTCAGGAACAACAAACTCGGAGTTCAATCACTCTCCTTCTCCAAATGGTACTCTCTCTCTCTCTCTCTCTCTCTGTATCTCTATCCACCGTCGGAACCCAAAAGTTTTTTGTTCTCCTTCGTACAAAAAAGATGGCGGTTTCATCATCATATTGGAATCCTGGAAGGTGGTTTTTGGTTTGTTGGTTAAGTGGGTTTCTGACTCAAATGACAAAAAACCACCTTTCTTTTGATTCTAGTGGATGTGGACGAAAAGAGAAACTGGTTTTCCGATACGGGCAAGCGGTTTTCAGACGAATTCCCTGTATACTTTGTCTCTACTCTCTCCTCTGGTTTCCATAGAAAAAAGTTCCCAAATGCGGCATTGCTTTTATATTATTTTATTAACATGCGCCGGGGTTGGCAGGATTCTGCTTTTTCAAGTTTCAACCACCACTCCCATTATTCGATATGTGTCTTGTTTTAAACTCACCCGCCGATTATAAAATTGCGGCTGGCAATATCTATCATGCGCACGTACGTAGGTTCGCGTACACAGTGGACAACCCGACGATATCTGTGCTTTCCAGGAATTTTTCTTTTTCTTTTTTTTCTTGCTTTTTGTCGATTTTTTATCACCGTTCACAGAGTATAAATAGTTGGACGTATATGATTTTCTGTAGCTCGCGATGCAGTTGATAATGTTTGAGATCAGTTACTATGGTGTTGTGCAGATCAAGGAAGCGAAGGTTGAGCTGAATGCAGTGCTCACACCGCCGTTGTCGTTGGAGAGTGGATCGGCCGCCGATTACAGAGCTCCGAATCTTGTCCAGCGTGTCTTGAGCCTCTTCGGGAATGTACGGCCAGGATCTGATCTTTCAAGTTTTGTGGTAAGTTCTAGTTCTTCTAGTTCTATTTTATTTATCCCTGACGTGAGGCTCGGCTTGTTCTTGCTTCTTCTTCAAGGGTGACACATGGGTTCATTGGGTTGAGGGATGCGTCACGAAAAACGTTTCGGTTTCTTTCTCAAGTAGAGAAAATAAAAAAAGCAAGACAATGTGGAACATCAATAGGATATTCACACGTGGCTATCGATTTTTGCCAGGTGTAAAGGCTACCTGGGATTCAATTTGGCTCAGTTATGTCTTATGTGAGCCGAGACTGCCAAATCAGGTCCATGCCACATCTTGGGCCCACCTTACTGCCACCTTGGAAGAATCCCATAATGCTAGTAACTAGTAAGATTTCAACGCTTCAGACGGCTTTTTCTTCTTCTTTTCAGTTTTCAGCTGGGTTAGGTGGAAGGAATATGGGCTTCCAGCTTGCATAGATTTAGCCCGGCCCACTTTTAACGTTGACTGCTCCACAATGCGACTTCTGGCAGTTTATGTGAATTGACGAAAATGCCACTGCGTGCGTGATGGATATAAAACTATAAATCGACTGGATGGGCCAGACATTAGGTTAAGAAAAAGATGGTCCAACTGCAGATATTGGGTAGAAGGAATAATTGGGTTTGCAACTAATACAGATCCAGCCCAGCCCACTTTTGTAGGTTGACTGCGCAATATGCGACTTCTGGCAGCTTCTCCAGTGAATTGACTAAAATGCCATTGCATGTAATTTGCACCACTTAAAAGATTTAGAACCCCGGTCCATTTTGATGAATACTAGTTGATTGGCTACCATATAAAAAACAATATAATCCAATTTTCACGCGTTATAACAGGTGGGCTGTGTTGGGTTCTGGGCCAATAGAAACCCAGGCCCAGGCCCGACCTGAGGAAAAACCCACCTAAACCCAAACACTTTCAGGCCCGTGTTGGAGTCTATCGGGCATATATATAAATTACCTGTCACAATAAATGAATTGTATTTGTTATAGATGAGTATTTTGACTCTCTACAAGCTTAAATTATAATATACTTATTATAAAACCCCAATGAAATCAAGCTATAGTTGAATTTTCAAAAATAAAGTAAAATACTTGCTCAAAAAGTCATTTTCTAATTAGTTATAAGATTGAAGGTGCCAACTGGTTCAGTTGGTAAAAGCTCTAGCTGGTTGTAGCGGATACTTGTATCAAATCCCACCTTCACCAGGGTTGGGGAGTAATGAGTTTGGGGGCTGAGCTGCCCCTAAGGGTGATTATGGCCCAGGCCCACGCTCAATCCAGCCCTATGATATGTCATATAATATATGGATATAACTATTTTATAATTATAAAATATAGAATATTGTATATAGTATGTATTATAGTTGTGATATTATAACATATATATATATATATATATATATATATATATAATATAACATAAAATCATGGTTCAAAGTATTAATACGCAGAGGCGTATCGGTACTTAGAAACACATGGAATCAACTTTTCTTTTTTAGTTTTTTTTTTTTCAAATTTTGGTTTTTGGGGAGTTAAAAAGGGTTTTTTTTTATTAAAAAAGGGTGGGGTCCCAAAATAGGTACGATACGATTCGCCCGATACAGGGTGTATCATATCGATTTTTTGAACCTTACATAAAATAACATGTATACATATGTACAAATAATTGGTTCAAGTGAAAAACTTATAACCAATCAACTAGTATCATAAAAGTGCTAACCAATTAGGTGGTATTTATCAAAATTCCCGGAGGGTTTTGATTGGTCAAAGCTCTTCCAATATCATATCTTTCTCACAACATAGATTTTTTCATAAATAAAAAATTTAAACATCTGCAGGCTGGGCCAGAACAGAAAACCTAGGCATAAGCTTCGAATTTTCATTCATGGCTGAAAATGCTGAACCCTACCTACCCTTTTGTGTAGCCTAATGAAACCCCCCAAAAAAATAAAAAGCTATAACAAAAGCATGCCAAGAACTCGTAACAAATTATTTAAAATTTAAAATTTCATTCCTTTTATTTTTATTTTTCAAATGCAGGTACCACCTCACTTTAATCTTCCAAAGTCACACCTTCAATGCTTTGGAGAGTCAGTTTATTGCATTGGTGATGATTTATTGCACAAGTGTGTGGCTGGAAAGAACCCCCTTGAAAGATTTGTAGCTGTTGTTGCATGGAGTATATCAACTGCCCGACCAATGATCTTCGGTGTTGCTCCCTTTAATCCTACTCTTGGGGAGACACACCATGTTTCCAAGGGGACCTTGAATGTTCTACTTGAGCAGGTAATCAATTTCTTAGTTATTTACCATTCTATTTACAATCTGTTCTATCTCATCTTATGTGGATTATTACTCCAAAAGAATTTGAGTTGACCTGGTACATGGGTCATGGGTTAGACATTAATAATTCTCATTTATTACACATTTTTTAATATATGATGTTAGAGATGTGTACACTTTTTCTATAAAATTTATGAATTTTTTTATTTTTATTATTTAATTTATGGCATCTTAAGTTAACTTGTTTATGAAAATTTATTTTTATCATAATTTATAAAATTTACAGAAATCTACTTTTGGAGCATTGGGTTTTATCAATTTTTCCAATCCATAATCAAATCAGCTGTGAGACTGGTTGACCCATCTCCCTAAACAAGATTTTGTGTCAATTTGACCACCCAGCACTTGTATGCAAAAAACAGTTGACTTTGTCAATGACCCAATAATCCATCTGGTTGAATCATTGTACTAATTGACTTGGTCAACATCATTATATGCTTAGATATAATCCACTTGATCAATGAAACAGTGATCCATGGCTTACAACTTTGATATTGATAGACATTTCACCATGTAGAGAAGGGGAAATTTTTGGGGATATTTCATTAATTTTCCTAAGATATTTGGAAAATCTAAAGAAATTAAGAAAAAAATTCTAAAAGCATGGAATTTGTTAAAACTTTATGGAATTGTTGTGAAAAGCATAAGTGCAATTTTAATGTTTAAAAAACTAAAGCAAACAATTTTAATATTATCTGTTTTTGTCTCCCATTTAGTTCTTTTAGCCATCCCTTCTTTACATGTGACATTTACTTGCCATTTTGACTTTTGTCACCATATGTGTTGATTAGTTTGAAATTTCCTTTCTTGTAGTTATAGTCTTTTTCCTTTTTCATTTATATTATAGTAATTTAGTGAGTCATATCAGAATAATAAGACAATCATCCAATCATTGATCCCAATTTTTTAGGAAAATATTTTTATAAAAATTCAATGATTTTATTGAAATATTAGTAAGTTTCAATAATATTCTAAAATTTTAAACCTTAAGGCTCAGTTTGGAAGGAGTGTAAATACAAATATATAGAGTGTAAAACAACACAGTTATTTTAAGAACTTTCCCTCAAGGCTGCGTTTGGAAACGATGCAAATAAGTGTGAATGCAAATATGTAGAGTGTAAAATGGTCCATATAAATTGCAAAGTTGGATTAGTTTTGCATTGACAATTTTACCTTTCTACCAAACAGACTTTTAGCTGTAATGGATGCAAACACGAATTCCAAGAAAGCATATGCCTTCTTTTATCAAAAGTCCACTTGAATGCAAATTTACTTCTTTTTTATTGATGTACTTTTACATCTTATTATCGATGTAAATATGCATTGGAAAATGTGTTTTCTGTCATTTGTTGATGTATAAATGTAATGTTGCCAAACACAGGCAAAAGTGAACCAGAGTGCAAATTTACCATGAACCAGGATTTACACTCCATTTGCATTGTTTCCAAACACAGCCTAAATCTATAGATTACCAATGAAATTTCAAATATCGCTGATTTATCAGCAATGTATTGAAGATGTTAGGGGAAACATTTTTTGAATATTTTGTATAGCCCCCTAGTGAAATGGGGAGATTTTGGAGATATTTCGCCAACAATCACTAATATGATGAACCACTAGACTCTTTCTTTTTTTTGTTTTGATAAATTCAGAAAGGGGCTACACAGAACGGGGGGAAGCATGTCCCCACAAATCGAAAACAGCTAATGACTCTTAGAGGTCTAGAGGTCTAGGAATGGAATTGGTTGGTACATCATTAGAGTGAACATAATTAGCTAACCAATCTGCAGCAAAGTTCCCTTCTCTATAGGTGTGACGATACTCCACCTTGCCTTCTAATCTCTCGAACAGCTCCCTGCAATCCTTGATGATCGGCATTACTCTCCATGGGGGGCTGATGCTCTCTTCAAACAATCTATAACCAGCTTGGAGTCACCCTCGATGATGATGAACCTGTCAGGAAAATTAAGTGCCACATTGTGGGCCTCCCAAGCAGCCCAGGCTTATGTTACATTAATAGTAGATTTGCCTAATTTGTAGGCCTTAAGTTCAAAATATGGCCCATACGACCTCGGGCCACACAGGCAATGGTGCAGATTTCATGGATACAGGAGGCATCAAAATTAATTTTAATAATCTCAACATTAGGCTCTGTCCTATCTGTTTTTATTTTTATTTTTCAAGTTACAATCTTTAGGGTATAGGATACATAATACCTTACCATTTCAAAGGAAAAAAGAAAAGAAAAAAAAAAAAGAAGATAGAAAAGGTCGATCAAAATCTGAAATTCATCCACACTTAAAAAGCTCAGCATCTTTGTTCTGCTAGGAATTTATACCAATGCCTGTGATTACAGTTATTGAGGTGAAAAGCACTTTAGGATGTTGCTGAATCTTCCAAGTGCAGATGCCAACATCAACAGAATTTTTCATAAAAACTAAGGGAGTTAACAATGACAACTTTTTCTGTTTGAAAGAAATGTCCAAAGTGACAGATTATCTTTTGAGAAATGTATTCATGGTTCAATCATCCTTAAAAAGTTTGCTACATGTGTTATCAATTTGTGTATCTTAACAGGTCAACATTTTGCATAAGAATTTTCCTAGTTGATCAATTTTTGTGAAGATTGATTCAAACTCCATTTAAGAAATTGTTTATGTATTGTAATAAATCAATGATTAATTATATGGTTTTCTGTTAACTATTCGATTGAATTATGTGTTGTCTCAAACTTATGCATTACTATGCAGGTCTCACATCGTCCCCCAGTTACTGCTCTACATGCAACTGATAGAAGAGAAAATGTTGAAATTGTTTGGTGTCAATACGCTGCCCCAAAATTCAATGGTATCTAAACTCTTCTGACTCAGAACTAGGATGATATTAGTAGTTTACTACTTTTTAAATCATTCAACATGAAATAACTACAATGATTTCTCACAGTTCTGACAATCTAACTTAGATATTCTATGAAAAACTTCATCTTTGTGGATTGACTCAGAAGCTTAATTCTTAAATGTGTCTTAAAGGCACCCCTGCCCACAAACCTTATTATGTACCTCACAGTCCACACCTTAGGAGCCATCCCACAGGATCAACACATATACTTATCATATTTGATATGCCAATCAAAACTTACAATGCAAGAAAAGGAGGCACTATTTATTTGATATAACATTATTGTTACATCATTCGAGTATCTACTCAACTACAGCTTATCCTTATTATTTGAGAACAGCTATCCATATTCTGCTCTGTTATTCCAGTTTGTTTAGGATCATAGGTACTATAAGTAGTATCCTTAAGTTTTCTACCATTTATTTTATTGTGCGACTGTAATTTGTTGTCTATTAGGGAAGTTATGTCCATTTTTATAGTATATCCTTAGTTAATCGTTATGGTCTAGATGAGTTCAGAATTGAGGGATATGATCTAAAGCCAGTATATCTTTCTTATTGGGTATGTCTGATAAGTTTTTCCCCCAGAGATAATAAATAATAATTACTGTTCTAAATAGCTTCTTCTTTTTTTGGTATTGTTATAGATAGATGAAATTGACATTTCGTTTATGATTAATCTATAGTACACTTGGAAAATTTCATAACTGTGCACATCTAGTTCCATGTTTAACATCATCCTAATTGAATCAAGGGAGGAGGAAGAACAATGTGAAAACAAACAAATGAAGTCAATTCAGAGGATGTGAGATTTGAATCACTCTTCTGATTGGAATTAAAACATTAGGAGGAATACATAGAGATGTAGATATCTATGGTCTACAGTAAATTTATATGACATATGTAAAGGATCAAAAAATAGAATGCATACAATATGCCAGGTACACTCAATTAAGGCTGCTTCCTACAAATGTCCTCAGGGAAACCTTTTCTAAGGATTCAGAGTGAAAAACAATATTTCTCTAGTCCTTTAACTTTGTCAATGGTGCTTTATTTGCAACCTATGAAGTTTTATTGAGGGAATGGAAGCATCGCCTGTTTCTTTAATTTGTTAATTAAAATGTCCAAGTAAATAGCATCTTATCTGATTCATGTCTGATCTCCTTTAAGCTGAAACTTGTCCCTAAAAAGAGAATTTGGGTTGATATAAGATTGCTGTTATTCTAACTATGATGCAGCATGTAAAAGTGATGCACCACTAAAGCCCAAATTGCTGCAGTAAATTGTCTGCCATGTAAAAAAATATAAAAAAGAACTTTAGCATTATCCATAGGAAATGTCCCTTTATTTCTATGTTTTTCATTTAATAATTTTTTAGAGTAACAGGAATAGAAGTTTATTAAAACAGAACAAATAGCATACAAAAGACAGGAATCCCTGAGGTTGATATGGCCATGTTTTGTTCTCTATTGTAGGCTAGTATCCTAGCTAAACCTCAATGTATAATTTATACTTATAACTACTTCCCCCAATGGATCTGTTCCCCAAAATAATTGATCCCTGTGAGTTTCTTATCTGGCCAACACATCTAGCCATGCTGTTGGCACTTCTATGTGTCCAATGGAATGAAGAATTCAGTTCAGCTGCCAATTTTCTAACTTCCATCATGATATATCTGTATTTCCATGTGCCAATTTTATTACCTCTGAATCAGATCACTACTACCTTGAAGTCATCCTCCACCATGATGTCTTTGTAATTTTCTCCTCAATAATAGACCACAGAGAACTGCCATGATTTCTTCTCTTGTGGAGTTTTTCTTTTAATAATTAAATATCAATTCATTTCATTTTGTAATTGTAGGTGCTTCAGTTGAAGTTGCGGTGAATGGGAAAAGGCAAATGAAACTTTTGACCTATGGCGAAAGCTATGTATTGAACTCTCCCAAGCTCTTCATTAGATTCTTCCCAGTTATGGGAGTAGATTGGGTTGGTAATGTTACAATTCAGTGTGAAAAGTCTGGCCTTAGAGCAGAGTTGTGTTATGGAGGCAGTTCTTTTCTTGGGTTCAGAGGAAATCAAAGATCTGTTAAGGGAAAGATATTTAACTCAGCATCATTGAAGACAATTTATGAGATAAATGGCCACTGGGACAGGTTAGTATCTTGGACAAATTTCACATATGTTTTGTGCTTTCATTTCTTGTGTTACAGTTGCACAATAAGGTAACTGGCGCTGAACATGTAAAGGTAATCCAAGAATAAAATATGGCCTAGAAAGGCTTCAAAAACACATTTCCTAATCATCTCAGTCATCTTCCATCCAATTTCCTTTCTATCCCTGTTCTTTTCCATTTTTCTGGTTTCTTTTAGGTTGTGTATGGTTTGAAAGAAACGGTAGGAAAACCTACACAAGGTTTGTACAGATTTCCCTACCTTTTCTTTCAAACCAAACACAGCCTTAGGTATTGCGTCCTTGAAATTTGAAATAGCCTCTCCTTTTTCAATATATTTGTGCCATTTCCTGCCTCAATTTCCCATTCAAGCAAATACTATTTTCATTAAAGGCCAAAAAAACTACTATCTTAAATACATATGGGTGTTCATAATCAAAGTTTGAATTGCCTCCCCACAGCACATCTCGGTGTGCATTGGGAACATCTCCCGCACTCATCATGGGGAGATGTTCCCAATGTACCGTTGGGATGTGCTGTGGGGTGCACCTTGTGGGGAACCAATTCGAGCCCTCATCATCATATTGTAGATTTGTTATGCTCTATAAACATCATAACTTAATGTTACAATGCCTGTTACTAGGATGGTTTAATATGTCATACATCTAGATGATTATAGAACAAATACTACGAGCAAAAATCTATAGATCAGATTACTAGTATTAGTCATCTTTGTATTAAATTGTATGTCTCCAGCCTATGATTAGTTATTCAACAAAATCATCTTGCTTACAGCACATGAAATACATAGTGTTCCTTAAGAAGAATTTTGCCGTCAATTTGCAGAACCATTACAGTAAGAGATGTTGACAATGGGAAAGTTACAGAATTATACAACGCAAAAGATGTCATATCAACACTAAAAACCCCCATGGTTAAGAATCCAAAGGTGATGAACTTCTACTCACAGATTTGTATGTCTATCTTTTCCAGTGTTTTTTTTTTTTATTTTTTTAAGAACTGCAACTCAGCAATGATATACCAGCTCAGTATTTGCTCTGGGCTCAATTTTAGGACTGAAATTGAGTTGGTTCTGCTTCCCCAAGTTGGTATATTTGATCTCAGCGGAACTCAAAATTTTAACTGGGAAAGGCTCAGAGTTACAGATTGAATTTAGCCCTGTGCTTCCCAAAGTGTAGGGGTGAAAATTGGACCGAATTTGGTCCAATCCGATCCAGCCCAATACAAGTCCATTATAAATGGACCAGGTCCAGTCCAATCCGATGAATACTTTGGATCATTTTGGACCATCCAATTTGTTCAAATTTGTCTTAATTTAGATTGATTCCAACCCAAAGCTGGTCCATTGATATCTTTGTATTCTTCATGCACTAGATATTGGTTCAATCCAACCCTATCCAATATAAATCTATTATGGATGGACCATGTCCAATCCAATCCGATGAATATTTTGGACCATTAAGTCTGGACTGGTCCAATTCAATTCAATGTCTTATTGGTCCATCCAATCCGTCCAAATTGATATTGATTTGGATGGGATCCAACCTAAAATCGATCCATTGACACCCTTACCAATATGTTTGACCTGAGCTGAACTGGCATGATGTAAGTCAATTGTTATCCTTGTTTGTTTATTTTGATGAGTCATATCTTTTTACATTAATTCCTTTGTATAATCTGTGCTTTTTCTAAGTTGACATTCTTTCTAACAGGGATTATGGCCAAGTGAATCGGCTGTAGTCTGGAACAAAGTAAGCCAGGGCATTCTAAGCAAAAATTGGGAGAAAGCAAGCGAAGCGAAGAAATATATTGAAGAGAGAGAAAGAGAAATGTTTAGAAAAAGGGAGTCCAAAGGAGAAACTTGGATTCCCAAGTATTTTACTTTATCCTACACCAAGGAAAGTGGGTGGGAATGTTCACCCAAGCAAAGATGGGTCCCTCCAGCACCTATTATTGTCCCTTCATTATAAGCTCAGATGATAAGTCTATTATTTCATTTTAAACACAATGAAACTGAGAAAATGAAGAAAAATTTGTACTCAAATAATATCCACCTTTAAAACTAAAAGAATAATAGAAAAGGAAAACACATCAAATGGTTGGTAAGATGGGGATAATGGATATGATGGTCGAGTATTTGTCTAATCTCCAGCCATTTCAACTTGAAAATTCCTAAGAAATAGGTCTCTTTAGTTTCTATTATTTTATAGGGAAGATTTATTCTGTTTCTGGAATCCATGTCTTGAGAGTTTGGAAAGTTTTAGTACCGGCCGGCAACTTGATGCAACCCTCCTCCTTTGTCCATGCTTGGGACTGGTAGTGTAAGACAAGCTCACATCGGTGGAGTTGAAAGGGTAAAAGGGATAGGAGTAGACCAAAAAGAACAAGGGCGAAAGTAATAGAAATGATTTAAGTGCCCATAATTTAACGATGGGTGTGACATTAAGCAGAATGGAATGGCAGAAACAGGATTCATGTAGCTGACTCCATATGGTTGGGATAAGGCTTGGACGACAAAGATGATGATGATGATTTACTCTGTTTTCTGTCCCATACTCCCATGTGATTCCCTATATAGTATCACTGTTTATTAGATATAGTCTGAGATCTCAATAGCTGCCACCCTATGTTTTTAGCTTTGAAAACCACCATGGGTAATAGTGTAATACTAATGTTCAAAATATCCCAATGTATTGGTGTGTATCAACTAATATATATACTGAAATTTAGACTCATTGATACTTTCCATGATTAGTATTTCAATTGTTTTAAACTTAAATTACTGACGTGGCATGTCTTCTATCAAATTATCAAACCAAATAAGTGTTCCCATGAAAACAAAACATCAATACACAAATTTTTCATATCAAGAATATCGTTACTTTGATAATACCTAGCAGATCAAGCCAAAAAATAAAGCATCTAGTGCCTATTATAACCCTTTAATAAGGACCATTTTCTAATGATTCAAGGTTTTGGAAGGAATAGACTGGATATCGACCTAACCTTTGGCATTCTCTTTTGAAAGTAGCCTCTCTCTCTCTCCAACTAGAAATCTCATGCTTGTCAGCCCAACTTTACAATCCTTCAATTAATGCTATTGCGGTGGCGAAAACTCTTTTTATGTTGAGAAGCCACTCAGCAAATAATACCTAAATCAGATGTTTAAAAATCAATCATGTTATGCTAAGCACAGATTTTAAAAGAATGTATGAAAAAAGGAGCTAGGGGTGCAACTTGGGTGGCCCTAACCCAAGCCCAATCTGGTTCAACCAAAGCTTTTTCACAGGTTGGGTTTGAGTTTTCGAACTTCAAATTAGGGTTGGGCAAAAAATCTCAGGCCTAACTTAAATTAAGGTTGGTCTTCGGTTAAGTCCTCAGGCCTAATCTTTCCAACATTTTATGATATATATATCTATATATTATCAATCTATTTCTACCTATAAATTGGGCTACAATGCTCAACTTGCCCAAACCCAAACCCAGCCTGAGATGTTGGGTTAAGCTAAGGTTGAACCTGAGTTGATAACTCAGACTTAACCTTGAGCTATCAAGAAGGATTTGCCAATCATCATGCAACCCCTAGTAAATTCATGCTCTATGGTCTTTGCCTGCTAGTAAATCTGTAGGATATTGTCACTCTAGTTCCACTTTCCCTCACACTATTCTGTATTCAAAGTAGGGGTGTCAATGGACCGGTTTTAGGTTGGACTCCGTCGACGGACCAATAAGACATATTGAATTTGGACGGACTGAACATATCAATATGACATATTGGATTGGACCTGGTCCATCCATAATGAATTTATATTGGATTGAGCCAATATCTGGTCCATTGATAAAAGATAAGAACATAGGTATCAATGGACCAGGTTTGAGTTGAAACCAATCTAAATTAACAGGAATTTGAACAGATTGGACAGTCTCTGGACCAGTCCAAAATATTCATCGGACTGGATTGGACCAGATCATTTGTAATGGGCTCACATTAGACTAGACAGGATTGGACCAAATCCAGTCTAATTGGCATCCCTATTTCAAAGGATTAACATTTTGATGTCCACGGGTTGTTGATGATGGTGTGTACACTGCTGATTACTTAGTTTAGAGCCACCTTCAATCCTTGTTTAATCTAGTTTTCTACTGAGGCTCTCTTTATTTGTGTTATGCCCTTGTTTTAGCCACCAATCCTTAATAGCAACATTGTCAGACTCAATCCAAATGTATATCGGTTTTAGTGATTGGGCCATATATATACATGACATCAACTCTTTTCTCTTTCTTTGAGTTAGTGCCACCAAGACAATCTCTTATGGTTGCTCGATTGAAACGGCTACTAGCTTGTTAGGATTCGTAACTATCTTGGATAACTGATGATGAAAACAATAATACAATATTAGAAGAGGAGAGTACATATCCAAGAAGATTTGTCATTTCCATATAATACAATAAAGTACGTATTAAGAAGAGATCAAGGACCATGACACTTGATCAAAAGCTTTGAAAACAACTGATGAATAGCTTGGTTCCTAAGGGCATGTAATAAACATGCCTCATCATTCTATAACTCAATGGGAGAGTAAATTTTCCCCTCTTTTTCTCCCCATGCAAGTTTAATTTATGATTCAAAGAAATCACTACACATGTATTTTGTTTGAACATTGCATTAGAACCTAAAAGTTCATAACCAATTCATGGTACCCACATCAGTAGTGTTCCATGCTTGCTTTTACCCCTAGAAATTTTCTCCATATTTTTTTTTCATTTTTTAAGAGATAAATGTAACCAAAAGGCATTAAGAACTCAATTGTCATTAATTAAAATATCTACTAATAATCTCTTTATTTAATTTAGTATTAAATAAATGCTTTGTTTATTATATTAAAAATTATTTAATCTAAAAAGTACATAAAAATTGATACAAGATTAAACCTACCCACAACATTTTAAACAAGAAAAAAAATGCTTTACACTCATTTATGAAACTTTGACTGCCATTGTGTTTTATTGAGTTCAAAAGACTTTATAGGCCTACTTGTTCATCTCAATAATTGGTATTTCTATGCAATTTTCCAATCTAAAATGCCTGCAACTTTCAAATTTAGGGAGCTTCTAAAACCAAACAAAGATACTTGAATATTAAAAACAACTAAAAGAAAAATGAAAAAAAAAAGAAATCTTGATAAGCTTGCTTTTGTTTCTAGAAGACCTAAATGGCTATGAAGTAATTAAAATTCTAAGAAGACCTGAGGCTTTATTTGGTTTCTCAAAATTTTAGTGTGAAAGGGAGAAATCACAAAAAAAAAAAAAAAATCCTCAAGGCATTTAACAAAACTAATCAATTTACATGTACTTTGTATATGACAATTTTTTTATGATGGTGATGATGATAAGTAATATGTTTTATATTTCCATGTCTATAAAAAATATTTTTATTTTTCACACTTATTTTTGTTAAATATGAAGAATATACGATATTAGAGATGTACCCAAAAGTTTTCTATAATTGTTTTTTTGTATTTTTTTCATACTTTTGTGTGTTTTCATCTTTTTTCTTTGTATTTTTTCATACTTTTCATGCTTTTGTGTGTTTAATTATAACATTTAGGATTGACACATTTGACCTAAAAGGCTGAATTGTTGAATTGCCACCAAATAGCAAAACAATTCCATTTTTTGGTTGGTTTTAAATTTATATTTTATTTATATCATCAATAGAAACAATTATTCTTTTTCACACTTATTTTTCTTTGATATCGTTAATTAATATATGATTCAATGAAAGAATAGCAGTTAATACCTAAATACAAGACTTAATGGGAGAGAATTGAATGAGGATAAATGTAATAATTCAAATTACATTTTGTGCTCTCACAATTAGAGAGAGACCAAATTCAAAAGTAGGGGTATTCTAGTCAAGAATAGGATTCAGTGAATGTTATTGGACATAAATACCTTAAATATATGACTTAATCATAGGGATTTGAATGATAAGAAAAATGGTTCTGTTGGAATTACATTTTTGTCATTATAATTAGAGTGAGGCAAAATTCAAAAATTGGACTACTTTAGTCAAACAAAAGTTATAAACTATCATTCACACTTTTAATAGTAGCATAGAGATAGTATAAATTCTTTAATAACTTTCTCAACATTCTCCCTTACTTATTTCCAAGGAAACAAAGAGAGCCAAATGATTCTAAAGTCGCTTGAAATGAATGGAGGTCACATATTCAAAGCAAAGAGGCAATTAACATTTCAACTACTCATTTTCAAGAGGAAAGTTCTTACGTTGGAAAATGGTTCCTTATCCTTATCATTCTTAGAACTTTGGCAAGCTATAGATCCATTTGTCTTATTGAGCTAAATTTCTAGAGCCTCTATAGGCCTTACACATTTCTTGTGTTCCAAAGATAGATCTCTCAAATCTCTCGATACTTGGACATGCTCTCATTTACTCAAAAATTAATCCTAAGGTCCATTTGGTTGCCGAGAAATAGTGGGATGAGAAAGGAAAATTTTATTTTCTCATTTTTGGTCACTATCTTTGTTTGCTAAGACCCACTATTCTATAGAATCTGCTTCTAGCATTTGATTGATGAGAGCTGGCAGATCTGCAATAGAAGTTTATGTTGTTAGGACAAATAAATCATGAAAAAATTAAATCCATGTTAGATCTGTAATAAAACACATATAGTTTAGCATATCTATACAATGAATAGGGGTTTATAGCAACAAAAAAATAAAAGGGTTTTAGATATGGCAACCCAATAGTAAAGGGTTAGCAAATGGAGAAGATATGGGAAGAAGATGAGGATGAAAACTGACCTTCGTAAAAGATGAGGATGAGAACTCCAATCTCCAGAGGCAAGCCTGTGTTCCTTGTCCGCTAAGCACCTGAAACACATGGAAGGAAAAACGTTCTTGATAAAAAAATGCAAAAAAAAAAAAAAAACGTGAATGATGCGTGAAACAAAATCCTATCTCCTTGCCGTCTAAGAAGATGAAGACAAGGTTACCTTCGCTGGAGAAGATGAAGACAATATCATGTCTCCTTGTCATCTAAGATTTGAGATCGAAGTTGATGAAGGAAGAGAAGGGTATTTTTTGGTGGAATAAAACACCAAATAGCGTGAAAGGGGATGTGAGCACTTACTGGAAGCCGTAAACCCCACCGGAGATTAAAGATAAGGTGGTCAAAGTTCGGATCGTTGTAGAGGTAGGAAATGAGAACTATCCACCCTCGACAAAATTTTCTCACACTTACCACGCAACTTTCGTTTCTCACTACGGTCGCACCTATTTGGTGAGACCCCTGCGTCCCTTATTTTGAGAATACTAATACCATCTCATTGCATCACATCTCTTGAAACAAACATGAGAAACGAATATTCCTATTTTCCCATCCATGTCGCGCGAACCAAACGGACTGTAAAGTTATACAAATTATAGTAGCTTGAAAATACACCTAGAAAAAGCAACCACAAGAATATTTCTAAATGAACTTGGGTTTGTTGGTAGAAGACCCAAATGCTTGGAAGAAGCTTAAAATTCTACTAATTTGTGCTTTGTAAAGCAGATACTTGCCTTAGCTTTGGTTCAGGCCAATGTTTTAAAAACCAAAATGGCTTTGGCCATCAGCTTTCAAGTCAGCAATTTGACCATCCAGTCTGAATAGAAGGCCCGTTGAAATTTTAAAAAATAAATAAAAAAAACAACTAAAA